CTTTAATTCAACACATCGAGAATCAGTAAACATAGTTTTAGTTAAATATCTGTATAATCTGGCCAACAGCCTGAAACTAGTAAGCCAGAAGATTTAAGTAATTGAAATCAAACAAATAAAGGAAATATTACTATTGGATAACTACTAACCAGAATTTATTCAGAAATATATGAGGAACCAGAGAAAAAAATAAGATTAGTAATAAAAATGAGGAAAATAGCGAAAATAATATAGAATTCAAAGTCTCTATAGTACTGCCTTATAAAGAAGGAACAGCAGAGGCCTTACGTAGGATTCTCAATGACGTTAGGATTAGGGTGACATTTAAACCAGCCAATCAACTCTCTGAGATAAACCTTGTCGATATGAGTATAGAACTTGGGCATTGTGGTAGAGTATAACTCCACTATAGATAAGATTTTATTTTGATAAACCACACAGTGTTGTTATACAGTAGTAATATTAACTGATGACCACGCTTCGAGCACAAACTAATGCCACTCATAATCATATCAAGGTACTCACTCACACAACTTTCCCGCTTCATTTATATACATGAGTGGAATTGATGATTAGACATTTGAATAAAAACCACCAATATGGGATAATGTACATTCAGAAATAATAATGTGAGTGTCATTGATCAAATACAATCAGATGGGAAATAAGACGAGTGTTTTATAGTCATTTGTGTTGTCTGACTCAATGCGAATACCAGAGATATGGAAGATATTATTACCACTAGTCAGTCAGTCAAATCAGAGGAGTATAATAAATAATCTCAAAATTTTATTTCAATTCACCCACATCATAACATTCCAACAAGTTACTTATTTATTTTGACTATAAAAACACTCGTCTTATTTCCCATCTGATTGTAATTGATCAATGACACTCATATTATTATTATTATTTCTGAATGTACATTATCCTCTATTGGTTGATTTTTATTCAAATGTCTAATCACCAATTCCACTCACGTATATAAATGAAGCGAGAAAGTCGTGTGAGTGAGTGAGTGACTTGATATGATTATGATTGGCAATAGTTTGTGCTGGAAACGTGGACGTCATCAGTTAATATTACTTACTGTATAACAACACTGTGTGATTTATCAAAATAAAATCTTATCTACAATGAATAAACTTTGTCGGCTTAAGAACGCAGTAGATCCAATTTAGAAAGTAATACTGTAATAACAGAAGACAAGGGCCAGGCAACAGAACGTTTATTATGGAAAATCATCACATATTTATAGATTTTTATGTACATTATTGTAGGTTAATGTTAGAAGAAAATACAGTCTGTTGATTGGTTGTTTCTCACACAAAGTTAACCTTGCATCTTTTGTGGCTGTGTCAGTTCATCTATATGTTAACTGTATCCACCTGTCCATCTTGACCTTGTTTTCACATGACTAACATTGACCTCAATTACTGTCAACCAATTTGGCTAGCAACCATCTCTCACCACAACATGACTAATATTTGATACATAAACATTGATCTCAATTACTGTCAACCAATTTGGCTAGCAACCATCTCTCACCACAATACAATTTACACAATACCATGAAATGACTGTAAGGAAGGTCAGTTGCATAGATCAAACTTGTAGATTCTATAATGTATGTGTAGAACTTGGCCACTGTGGTAGAATGCAATTCCATATTAGTTAAATTTATTTTAAATATTTTGCACAGTGATGTAGTAATAACAACTTAATGACGTTTCGAGCATAAATTATTGCTGATAATCATAACAAATTTAGCTAGACCTTGATTGATGATTGACCCTGGTAAGTTAGATAACCTAGAAAAAAGCTCGGCTGTCGCACTGCATTCACTTGCATATAGTCACAAAGTGATAGGGTGAGAGTGTTAAAAAGTAATATAGTTAGGTGGAGAGAGATATAGAGGTTAATCACTGAAGCTTTGTTTATCGATTCAACACCGCACACGTGCAATCAAAATGATGCAACTCAACGCCTATACCGGAGATTTGAAAAGTGGCAACAAACAACAAAGAGAAATTGGAGCGACGGAGATTGAGAAAATATAATATATAAGGCGAATTATGAAGCCGTGTGACTAAAATTGATATGATTATGAGTGGCAATAATTAATGCTCGAAACCTTACCATCTAGGCGTTAATGCAGCATCATCACTGTGTGATATTTGAAATAAACTGATGTAATATGGAGTTATATTCTAACTGAGTGCCCAAGTTCTACACTTATAGAAAAGGCATTGCCTAATAAAGACAATAGATGGATAATATGATAAATAACTAAGAAGTTGCATAACACTTTGGTGAATTCAATTCAAACCATAAAAACAGAAGCAGATAAGCAAAATGAAATGGTAACGAGAGGTTGTGAGGTTAAAGTCAACACAGTATAGAGACATTGAGTTACGAGGGTAATGAAAGGCTGATGTCTGCCTCTATCTGAAGTCATAAATCGGGATTTAAGCGTTTGGTAGCAATTGCTTAGGTTAACGTCAGGCGAATTGAACTATGCTGTATGCTGATAACTTTAAAGGATTATATTGTGTCCACCTCATGACCCCAATCAATGAAATGCTTGGCAATTGAACTTTTAAGTGCGTTTGTTGTCTTGAAATATAGACTGTTTAATACATGGTCAGAAAATCGAAGGTGTGTCCTTCTTTCTGTTCTCCCAATGTGATTGCTACCTCAGGCAATTGAAACTAGCATATGAAGGGTATCTGACATCCTTTGATGGCAACGAAGATCATTTCCAGTCGATTGATTATGTTAGACCGTTGGTGGTTCAGTGGTAGAACACTCGCCTACCATGCCAAGTGGTCCTGGGTTCGATTCCTGGTTAACGTACTCCTAGACCTCACCTAGCCGGTAATAAGTTCGGTAAAGTGGAAGGGTTAGGTGTTTGAAGCTAGCAACCACATCCCGTAGAAAACAGCACTGCTGCTGGGACTTCAAAGCTGAAGCTTGAAGCCCTATTTTCCTTTTGGAATACGAAGGAATAAAATAAAATATACCGTAATGCTCGGTCTCTGTTGACATTTTGCTTTCCTAGTACGGACGCTTCGATAAGAAGGGCTGATGTAGCCCAATGACGTAATGGATAACGCTTTTTGTTTGCAGAGTCCGAGTTCCATTGGGAACAACAGTGTCGAAGCGTTCGAACTAGTAGCTGACATGTTGGTCCAACATAATCAATCCGTCACCGAGAAATACAAATTTATCTGAAAAAATAAATAATGGTTGTTTAAATCATTTCATACAGAGGTGATTAATACAGATTGCTTTGTTCCCATGATTCTTGTGTCACAGAACTCACTGGAGTTGGAACGAAGTCAAATGTTAAAATACTTTGGATTTTGTCTTTCCTCTGATCTTTCCTGGTCTTCCTACATCATGTTAATTTGTAGAAAGATATTTCTTTTAACCTTCTATGTTAGGAAGTTAAGACAATCTGGTCTTACTCAGTTACCAGGGTGGCAAGGAAAGACTGATAATTGCTTCTTTCTGAACACACACACACATACATCAATCGGGTTTCCGGCGTTTGGCAGAGATTACTTCGGCAAACTTAAGGAGAATTGATAATTTTAAAGGATTTTACGATTTCCACCTCATGACCCGTATCAAGGCGATGCCTGGTAATGGTACTATTGTAAGCGTTTGTTCCCTTGAGACGTAGGCTCTTCAGTACATGTTCAGAAAATCGGAGGTGTGCCCTTCTTCTTTCTGTTCTCCCAATGGAACTGCTCCCACAGATTCACGTAAATTTGTATACACAATTGGAGTTAACACGAGAAGGGTATCTGTCGACTTTTGATTGCATGTTGTTCGATAGACGGGAACCAACTTAGCTAGCTGCAGGATAGGCTCTGGTTAGTGACGTCCTCAATCTCCTGTTGACTATTGCTGCAATATTTTCATTTTTATAATGTATGAAGTAACATGTTTTGATGACTTTTAACCTTTTAATTTTACCCATCTCCCACCACCCTCGTATACATAAAATTGATGTGGACTGAAGAACCATGATTGGTAAAAAATTTTGATGTAAAAAACTATGTATTGGTGTAGAGTAACCAGTAGATGATGAGGAACTAATTGAAAAGGAATACACATTTCTAAATTTTGATTTAACATTTTTCTATTTTTATTCACATTGTTATTGATTGAAAATGTCCTGGTAATCATTTTCCCCTTCAGTGTACAAAGTAAAGAGGAAATTAGATGGAATATTGGGCATCTATCTACAGTTATACCATATAAGGAGGGGACATCTGAGGCCCTACGTAGGATTCTCAATAAAGCAGGAATTAGGGTGGCATTCAAACCTACAAACTCACTCAGAGACAAGCTCTGTAGGCTAAAAGACCCTGTGGATCCAATTAAACAAAACAATATAATTTATAAAATACCTTGCAATGACTGTGAGGTCAGCTACATAGGTCAAACTAGTAGGTCAGGGGTAGTCAGATTGTCGGAACATTAGAATTTAGCTAAGGTTAGAATGGTTGACCCCGAGAAGATAATTTAGAAAAAAGCTCAGCGATTGCACTGCACTGGGCACTGGGTTCGAGCCTCGGTGGGGACATTGTCACTCACTGCAGAATGCAGGTAAATCCACTGGCTGACGAGTCCCAAATAGAACGAAATGCGCGTTGTCCTGGATTCCACTGCTAGTCACCACCCACCAATTAATCTTTAATTACATGCCCAGATATCATCGAAGCATCTGCACAAGAAGCCGACATGTCAACTTGAGACCGAGCACTTCGGTCCAATCAATCGACGGGAAAATTTAAAAATTGAATTAAATATCCATATTGTTAGATTCAAGGTCATTTGACTTTGGTGTCTGTTTGGTTACTTTCGCCGAATATTATACTACCTGTCGTGAATTTCACACTGCATCAAATGTACTGTTGGAAATAAAGCCATTGTTATTATTAGTATTATTATTAATAATTATTCTTTTTCTCTACCTGTTTCTATAGGTGCAAAAGTTCGTGAAGAAATTTACGAAGCCTTCAACAATATCTATCCTATATTGAAAAATTTCAAGAAATCTGATAAAGATCCTAGAACTATTACCTCATCAAATTATATGCATCCATTAACTTGAACGTCTTAAAAATAAAAAAAAAGAATTTAACTTTACCAAAAAAGAAAGATTATTTTTTCATCCGACTCCCAACCCCCACCCCCACCCACAACCACGACCACAACCTCCACCATTTCTTTCTGACATTATGTCACATTACATCACATCACGCGAACATATAAATACACCACTCCTCGTTTGTGTTTTTTTTTCTTCTGCGTGGATTTTAACTTCCCCCGCTAATTATTGTTTTTCGACAACAACAACAGCAGCAGCAACAACAACAATAACAAAACAAAAGAGAAATAACAAAGTCTATTTTTCATCGTCAATATACATCAATGGACAATAAATACACTTTTCCTTAGAGGTGATTTAATATGTGTGTTTGTGCGTGTGTCTATGTAGGAGAAACACTTTGTATATTTTTTTCTAACTAATATGGTCCTGCCTTTATTTGTTTGTATACTATTCAATATGTAATTTAATATATGGTTCTCCTTCTTTTTCTCTCCCTTTCTCTCTGTCCCCCAATCTCTGTCCTTCCACTGTGTTGTTTGTCTACCGAGTATTCTATGAATATAAATAGAATATTTGAAAAAAATACAATCAACATGCCTTTATACTCAGTTTATTGACTATTGGACTTCTTACAATAATACAACTCACCTTGATTTAATGTTCCGTTTTTCGCAAGGTGTGGTTAACAGAATCGAAGATGACTGGTAAACTGTGCTGTGTGTTGTCGCCTGCAAAGTATTGAAAGGTGGTAATGCATAATAATATACAACAATACGGTTCAGTGGTGATCCAGAGTTCGATTCCCGGCTGTCGTGCAGTCTTGCTTAGCCGGTGGTGTAAGTTTGATAAAAGGGGAAGGTTGGGAGTGTGAGGCTAGCAATTAGACTATACCGAAACTTGGAACTATTTTGAAGTTTGAGGCTTGAAGCTTTATCTGCTTCCATTTGGAACTCAAACGAATGAAAGTAGTAGTTGTAGAATGTTAGGTAGCAACACTAGTCATAAAGGCGTATTGTGCAGTTAATAATAAGCATTAAAGAATAAGATTCGGATTTCTAGCACTAATGTCACGGAGGTTCAGTAAAAGCATGTTGAACAGGATTTAGACTTTCATCAATAACTAACTGCCTTCGCTGACTGGACTGCTCACTGAAGATCAGATGACCGGCCAGGAAGTTATTAGTGACAAGAAACTCCGCGAACGGACGAACCAACCAACAAATGTACTGAAGGGAATGGAGATGGATCGGATAGATACTGAGGAAACTGTTGAGTGACACTGCACGCCAGCCCCCCCCCACCTTCCCGAATGGGAAGTGACGAGTTTGGCATTGGTCCGAAGGTGACGTGGAGCTAGCTAAAGACGACTGCAGAAAACAGGACGGAATGGAGATGTGCTGTTGTTAGGTCTTATGTTCCACTTGGAATCTAAAGTAATAATATTGCACTAAATTAGGATTTCAATCCAAAGAACTTACTTACTTACTTAGGTTCACCAGCTAAAAAGTTGTATTCCCTTGCGTTCCCAGTGGAACATAGGGCTTCAAGCTAGACGCTTGAAGTTGCGGTAGCAGTGGTGTTTAATTTTACGGGATAGGGTTGCTAGCCTCATGCCTAACCTTCTCTCTTTACCAGTCTTATTAATGGCTTAGCTAGTTAAGGAGGTGCATCGACAAGGGATCGGAGGCCGGACCACATATCTGTCTGTCTGTCTGTTTTCGACATAGAACTTTGCACCGATGTGCGGCAGTTCAAGTCGCCACACTCCATGTAGCACACAAAGGAAGAGAAGAAAGTAGGAGAAATGCATATTGGAGACAGTAAACAGAGGTGAGAGACAAAGGAATAGTAATAACGAAGAACAAAACAGTTTCATTGGAAATCATAAGTCACAAGGAGTGGATACATCTGTGCCAGCCATTGAGAACGATTTTGAGCCATGTCACCAATTGTTTCCAACCATTGGATTTTACCGTCCCGAGGACCCCAACCAGGAAGTCTACACCTTCCTACGTGGCTTAGACTAACTGTTGTAGATTTCATTGACTGCGGACCACATATGGCGTGGTTGGCCAGCATTCTACTGCTGTGCCACCGACGCTCAGCTTCACCAGTGATTTTCCTAAATTGGGGCTTTTTTGAGATTGAAGATGAATACAAAGGAATTTATTAATGAGGACTATCCTGAGAGTAGGTGGCATGAACAGTGATTGGTTATGAATAAGCCTTCCTCTTTCGTTAAAGTTGATATCCTGGTCTAATCTAAGTTTGATCCTAAGGCTAAATGTGATAACGCCATAACCAATCTGAAATATCTTTTTCTTGGACAAACTTGTATGAAAAAACTATTTTGGATTGTTGATATTTGGAAAAAGAATAATTCATCACAACATGATTAGACTTGTATTAGGACGAAGTAAATTGTTCCTAGACCTTGGTGATTGTGGTATTTCATGGGTGGTCAGAATAAATAAAACAGGTGATTTCCATAAGATTTAAGGTGTGCATCTTTCATTTATATCCTTATGTGTAGAGCAGAGAAGTATCAACAACATCTCAACTCCAATTCATTTTTTAAGCTTCCACTACTGATGTGTTGTAGCAAGTAGGACTCATCTGGTACGGACGACGTTGCCATTCCCATTATCACTGAACCCAAAATTATCGTGTTGGAATAGTCTAAAAAATAACAATTGATGCCAACTGACTTATCTGTAATCCTGACACTTAGAAGACATGCTATAGATTCCGTTTCAAAGTAGTTGTAGTCTGTGATTCTACAACAGTTTATAGATTTTATTATGAATTATCACTTTCCAAGTGTTGGTTTGCAGGGACATCGGGTTAGAGAACCATTCGAAAACCTGGGAGTACTAGACAGTCATTTCGTCCTAGTTTGTGACTCTTCATCAGTACGCACCCACTGCCAGGGTTCGAACCCAGGACCTTCTGGTGAAACTCCCTTACCCTTATTAATCAGGAGATAGGAAGGAGCAGCTGCCCAGTACTCCTGGGTTTTACAACGGTTGTCTAACCGATGTCAGCTTATGATGAAACCCTGTGACCAGTCATATCCCTGCATACCAACACCTCGATATCAATCCGATGCTCACTATTGACTGGCCTTATTCATATAGGCAGTTACCTGGGTTCTAGTGGGAAGTCGTGACCAGTGGAGTACAGCAGGTCGGGGTGGGGTGTGAGGACAAATACTCGCTAGTGATAGCGCCATATCATGAATTGGCAGAAGTTGGAATTCATGGACTGGCCACTGGGTGGAATTCCAGTGGCTTGATGGTCTACGAGCTCACCTTGTAGCCAGAAGGTCCTGGGTTAGAGCCTTGACGGTGGGTATGTACTGATGAAAAGCCCCAAACTAGTGGGACGAAACAGCTGTCAAGTACTCCCTGCTGGTTTTCCAATGGTTCTCTCTAACCAATGTCAGTTCATGATAAAATCCTGAAACCACTTATCACCTTATTCCATATAATAGTTTTTATACACAGTGGAATTTTCAGCTTTGTACATATTGTAACGATTTCTCTCCTTTTATAAATAAATGGTTAGTATAATAGAACTGCAAAAACTGAAGTTAATAGAATAATGATGCTGGTGACATTATTATTTCTTCAAATTCCGAGTGAAATGATTTTATCGTGTTCTCTGAAGTCATCTTCATCTGGCCTGGCGCACAATGTCACTGAATGGTCTCCTCAGAGTGTGTCTGATCCATCTCCACTTTTTTCAGCATATTTGTTTGGCTAAACATTGTTGGTTGGTTCATTCGGAGAGTTCCTCATTAGCTAATCCTTTCCCATCGGCCATCTGATCTTTAGTACACAGCCAGGCTGTTGTTGACGAAAGTCTACAGCAGGCTGTTGGAAATGCTTTTCCGTGATGTGTGTGTGTGTGCAAGAGATTTCCACATTGATTTCAGATTAATGAATGTCTGTCTTGCCTTTCAGATTCCTGAAGTTGAAATGATACTGCCTGGATGAGTGGAAGAGTTGAACTCCTTCAAATTCCAGCTGTTTTTAGTGATTGGTGATTGTTGTTGCTGTTGTTGTTGCTTTTATTTAGGTATCTTCATCAGCTCTGTCTTTTCTATGTCACCAAGAATTTCTGTCTTGGCTACCTCTTCTGTCAACTTGTTGGTTTCCGCTTGTAGATCTTCGAGTTTGTGAAACATCAGACAGAAGTCGTCCGAGAAGTCCCGATCTTCTGAATTCTTCTTATCCGCCCAACGTATTCCTGTTCTGTCACCTTCCTATGGTCTGATTTATAATCCAGTCAACCACAATTAGGAATGTCATCGATAATAGTAGGCAGTTGTGTTCCTACTCCCGTCTTTACTTCAGATGTTTCAGTGAGCTTTTCGTTCTGAATCACTTGACATATGGCATCGTTTTATCGCCGTTGAATTAGGTTGATACAAGTTTACATCACTTTGTAGTGGTGAAGAAGTTTTCTTTGATGATGATGCGTAGCTTTGCGACTTGATCTACACGTGAATCCAGCTTGTTCTGGGCTGAGTTTTGCACCTACAGCATCTTTTAGCCTCTACAGGATGATGTGGCTTAATAGGTTACTTGTCGGTGACGGGAGAATGATTGTGTGGCAGTTCTTGCAAACGCTTAAGTCTCCTTTTTTGGTTTTTCTGACAAGGTAGCCTTTCTTTCAATCAGTAGGTACCTTTGCTTCCAAATTTTTTGAAATAGTAACGTCAGGATATCCACCGAGGTCTCTGGATCCATTTCCAGTGTTTCCGGAGGAATTCCGTCTAGTTCTTCTGTCTTCCTGGTTGTCAGTAGCCTTATGGTATTCAAGACCACTTCTTCTTCGGAGGATTGTTGTCCACTGGCGGTTCTGTGGCTGTATTTGGTATTCCTGTACCAGTTGCAGGTGATGGTCGGTCCAGGAGTTCTCCGAAGTGATCATCCCTTTGTTTCCCCTCTTTGATAATTAGATACCCCTCATTATCTTTCATTAGTTTCACCTTTGCTTATCTCTTCCAGGATAGGGACTCGGTTATCTCGTGAAGTGTTCCAAGGTCTTTCTTTCCTGTGGCTTGTACTACTTCAGTGTCCAGTGTGTCGTAGATTTGTCTTTTGTCTTTCCTCACACTCTTCTTCACTTCTTTATTGCGTGTATTGTAGATTAAAATCAGCTACTCCTTTCGTTGTCCATCTTTGCACTGGTCTATCTAATGTTTCACCGTCCCCGTCTTCTCGATTAGCTTCCAAGTATCCGTAGATTTTCATTCCTTGTCTTGCCTCTTCTTTCTTCCTAAGACAGTTTTATACTGGTTTCCTTCAACATTACTTTCAGAGAGTTCCAATGTTCCTCCCCACAGGTTTCCATGCTGATACTACATAATGTTTCTGGCTTTGTAGTTTTGTCCTTCATTTTCTGAATGTTGAACTGGAAATGTTGTCAATCTCCAGCTTTTTCGAAGGCTTCAACTTGACCATGAAGTTTCCTTGCACTAGATAATGGACTGAGCCCACATCTGCTCCCCTTCTCGAGTTTTTGTCCATTAGGCTGCGTTTTGACGCTTTTGAGACTGATATGAAGTCTATCTGGTTTTAGATGTGTCCATCTAGTGAAATCCATGTCGCCTTGTGAA